TAATAAAAGTTAAATACAATTTATTCATTTGGAATCTATTAGTTAGGAATTTATTAATGATATTTAACTATTTATACAATAAATGGCATATTAAAAACCACATTTAGATGGAATCTCATGCACACACACACACACACATATATATATATAGTGTGTGTGTGTGTGTGTGTGTGTGTGTGTATACACTAGTCAACATCAAAATCTTTCATCAAAGTTGTCCTAAACCAAAATACATTCTTTTCTTAGGACAACTTTGATTAACTTTTTTGATCCACTTCAAATGTTGACTAATATATATATGTGTGTGTGTGTGTGTGTGTGTGTATGTGTGTATGTATATATACGTGTATGTGTATATATATATGTGTATATATATATATATATATATATATATATATTCATTATAAATACAATAATATTATTTCTTTATAAATTGTTTTACTATATTGACTTACTATATATTTATACAATATTACATATTTAAAAAAATATAGTAGTAATAATATTTAATAATATATTTATAATAAAACCATTTATATTATATAAAACCTGTAGTAACTGAGTGTTTTGCTAGAACACTCATAATAAATAGTCATGCTAAGATTGGTAGAGTAAAAGAATAATTTTCACAGTGATGCACAATAATAGCCTACAGTTAATAAATGTTTATGTTGTACATTTTTCATAAATTATTTTTAAATGTTTTTTTTTTATAATGTTCATTTAATTTTTTACAGTGGTTACTACTGTCTTACAACAAGTAACCTTTTCATGTTTACTATAAAGGAACTATGTTAGCATAAGTAAGCTAAATATCAAGCTTTAGTAAATTATCGTGCTGGATGAGGGAAGGTTTTTGTATTAATATATTAATGCATAATTATTATTTTATTTATTCATTCTATTTAACTATATATTTATACAATGTTGCAGATATTACCATTATTATATTGTTTTCTGTTAATTTAAGAAAATATTATTAATAATCATAATACTTTTTTATATTATTTTTTTTATGTATGTTTCAGGATTAAATTTGACCAGGATTTTATTCACGATATTCACTCCAGTATATTATGATAATCGCTCATGTTTTGTGTCTCTTTCTTCCGTCTGCAGGTCCACAGTGTCACTGTTTCCATTTTTGCTCCACTCTGTGTCCTCCCTCACATCACACCTGGCTGAGATCTCCCAGCCCGACCTCGTCCCGCCATGGCGCTCTCCTCACGCTTAAAACTCTGGGAACAGAAGGGAGGTGCAGGACGGCTGCATGCATGGAGTTCAGCTCAACTAACCCGACTGCTGCTTAACTCAGTTTATTAACCAGCACCAGTTCAACAATAATCACTGTGCTTTTGGAGATGCTTGTAGTCCAGCCTCAGTCTCACACAGACCACACACTGACATGAACTTGAATATGAACGTCAAAAGACTGCCTTCGTCTCTGTTTGTGTAAAGTAATTCAGTTCACATTGGCAGTGCCGTCCGGCAGCTATTTTCAGTCTAGGTATTAAACATAAAAAGTACAGCTTCTGTGATAGAGGAAAGACTGAAATCTGTGCTTGTCAATATTATATTTGAACTACATTGTCAAATCTAATAGCATTATGAATGGTATCACAATATCACATAGTATCACAAAAGTATCATACATGTTGCTTATTTACCTCAACTCACATTAAAAAAACTTATATACATATATATATATATATAAAGTACTTAGTGGAAATAACAAACATATATAATATTTATTAAAGCCTTTCACCAAATGTCTCCAACACTAAATAATTCAATATTTCATATCACAATTTTAAGCAGGCTTTAATTCTCACAGTGTGACCCATGTTGCTGCTCAGTGGCTCTCTATGGTGGTCCACTTTAGGATGACGGGAGTCTTCGCATGGGTGACGTTACTCTGTAAATTAAGGGTTTTAACTCTACTTGAATCTGTCGTTAGGTCTTTATTATTCTAAACTAACTCTAGTAAATTACTTTTCCAATTGTTCTCAACTGCCATGTGCACTTAACTATACAGCATCATACTAGCTTCCTAGGCAGTTTAGGCCAGCTGGTATTGCAGACTGAATGCTCTCCGCTGGCTAGCGCTCATGAAGTGCAGTTATTGTAGACTGTATCTAGTGTTTCAGCTCTGCTGGCCTGCTGAAGGACATCTACTGCCCTCAGCTCACATGTGTTTAATATCACTGCTTGTGCTGCTAATAGAGCAGCAAGGGCATCAGTGGAAACTTTCAGTGCGTATATAGGACGCTTACTAAAAATATTGTGTCTTTAGTTTTCACCCTCATGAAAATTAACCTTGGTTTTACTATGGTACGACTACCTGTAGTAGACTACAGTATTTTGGTAGAAGATTCATGATAAATAGTCATGCTTATTGTGAAAGTAAGACAATAATTTGTAGTAGCCTGCATTTTTTTATGCCAAATAGTTTTGCTTGTGGTCACTATGGTTGTACTACAAATACCTTTTTTATGTGTACTGTGCATGAACCATGGTAAATTGGAAATGAGGGATGTATATAGCTTCTTAGCATACACAAGCGAACAAAATATGTGACCCTGGAGCACAAAACCAATCTTAAGTCGCTGGGGTACAAAAATACATTGTATGGGTCAAAATTATCGATTTTTTTTTAATGCCAAAAATCATTAGGATATTAAGTAAAGATCATGTTCCATGAAGATATTTTGTAAATTTCCTACTATAAATATATCAAAACTTAATTTTTGATTAGTAATATGCATTGCTAAGAACTTCATTTGGACAACTTTAAAGGTGATTTTCTCAATATTTAGATTTTTTTGCACCCTCAGATTCCAGATTTCCAAATAGTCAAATATTGTCCTATCCTAACAAACCATACATCAATGGAAAGCTTATTTATTCAGCTTTCAGATGAGGTACAAATATAAATTTTGAAAAATTGACACTTATGACTGGTTTTGTGATCCAGGGTCACATATCAGGCTTTAGTAAGTTATCGTGCTGGATGAGAGAAGTTATTATTTTCCAAAATAAAAATGGTTTTGTATTGGCATGTTTGTTTGCATGCATGCATTTCCACTCTTAAAATACAGCTTGGGTTAATTCAAGTGGTTATGTATACAAATATATATCTACATGCACACACACACAGTATGCATTTGTAAGTGTGTGTGTGTGTGTGTGTGTGTGTGTGTGTTAATATAAATATAAAGTTATCAAAGATAAATTTGTTAATATAAATATAAAGTTATCAAAGATAAATTTATAAGTACATCTTAATATTTATTTTAGCTATTTATTTTTAAATACTTTTAAATATTGAAATGAAAATGTTTTTTTTTTTTTGTACATGCATCAGTTTTATTTTTGCAAATTTTTTTTTTTTAATCTATTTTTTTTCAATTTGTTTTCCAGATAAAAATAAACCATTCTTAAAACAATCTTATGTAAAATATTATGGCAAAATAATAAGAAAATGCAAGTTTGCTGTGGGAATGTTGTTACCTTCTAAGCAGTTTTCCTGTGCTTGCGTCAGTTAGATGGACAGTTTGTTTGTTTGTTTGTATGGAGTTTATGACTGGAGCTCCTGTATTCCTCATCCGTGAGCAGATCAAGGAGGAGAAGAAGTCTCCTGTCACTGCCGCACAGCCTCCTCCTCCTCCTCCTCCTCTTCTCTCCGCCGTCCCGGGAGGATTCCTCAAACAGCTGGTGAGAGAGACCGAGAAAGAGACACGCCACAAAGAGCCAGAGCTCAAAGAGGAGAAGACGGTGAGATCTCACTTCACTGGGTGGGATTCTGCGGGGAAAAGTTTTAGCAGGTAAAGCGGGTTATTTAACACTGAAGCGGATGGTTCCAAGGTGGTCCATCATTTCCAACCAACTTGACCAAGATGATTTACCAGGGGGCAGACGAAATATTCTTCAGAATAACATTTTTCATAACAACTGTCTCACTTAAGAATAGATTTAAGAATATTTTGTATTCCCCAAAACATTTCTTCAGCATGCTCTAAATTTGAATTCCTGAAAAGAATGTTCTTAGAATGTGTGACTTGCTGAAAAGCTTGGTTCTCATAAATAACCACTTTTGTTTAAGTTTGGATAACATCCAACTTAAATCCCACAAGGTAAGATGTTTAATGCATTTATTGGTTTAAATTAAATAAGGAAATGTGTGATTGTGAAAAAAATAAGATGTTCTTAAGACAATATTTGCAAACCTTAGAAAGAGTTGCACTTACGAACATTCTTAATTCTCAGACTTCTTAGAATTTATCTTAAGAAATGCCTTAACTTAAAAACAATAAGATGTTTAAAGAAAATATTTCCAAACTTAAGGTTTTTTCGAGAATTGCTCTTGGGAACATTCTTACAAACTTCTTTAAGAAAAGTTATAAAGATGCTCTTAAGAAAATATTGCTATACAAACTTTATCTTAAGAAATCTCTCAAACTTAATCTTAAGAACTGAAAATAAGATGTTCAAAAAAGAGAATTACAAGTAGAAACATTCTAACAAACGTAGAATATTTGCACATTTTCCAAGAATTACACTTAGGAATTTTTAGTATTGATCAAGAACTTAAACATTTTTCAAGAACTGCAAGAATTTGAATTGGATTCATTTGGATTCATCTTAAGAAATGTCTTAATTTTTTCTTAAGAAAAAAATTATGTTCTTAAGAAAAAAAATGTAAGAATTTAAGAATGTCTTTAAAGAACTTTCAAGAACATTGTTACAAACTAAATTTGTCTTAAGAAATGTCTTAAATTACATTTTTCAGGAATTACCGTTAGGAACATTCTTACAAACTTAGAATTTATCTTAGGAAATGCCTTGGCTTCTTTCTTAAGATAAATATTTGTAAACCTTTTCAGTAACCTCTTAGAATTGTAAGAAATGTATGAACTTCTTTCTTAAAGGGGTCATATAAACAGGAAGTGAAAGAGCCGAGGCAAGAGCCTGAGGGTCAGATGACTGTAACCCCCATAAGAGAAGAGCACAAGGTGCCAGTGGTAAGTAGAACATCACAAATACACCAAACATCACTGCTATGGCATTCAGATCTACTGTTCATGGCATCTCTAGTGCCTTCACCATGTCCAGAAGTAACTGTTTTTGTCAAGTTTTGGATGAATTCTGACCACGGTCTTCTCTAAGCAAGTTTTTGTAAAGATAAAAACATTTCCTGATGTTCTTAAGATTGGTGTATTGTTTTCTGGGATCTGAGGTCAACATGAAATAACATGTACAACCTAATGTGACATATTTCAGAATGAGACTGAACAGTCTGGAGTAAAAAAAAAAAAGCAAATATTATTATATTAATTATTAATAGTATTAATATTATTTAAGTATTATATTAATATTAATATAAAAATAAGTAATCATTTATTAAAATAATTGACTTTCATGTAACTGATCATTTCTCACAGTTAAAACTTGCATAATTATGACTTTGATCTCACAAATACAGCATTATTTCCCACAATAATGTATTTAACTTTATCTGTTTTTACAATCACCTGTTTTATTTACTACTCAGAGATGGAAATCAGCTTAATATTAATCAAGACAAAAAGTAAACTAGGGCTTGATTTCATCCATCAGGAAATGATTATATTATGAGATCGCTATTATTCGCTTCATTTATTATCAATATTTTGTATTATTGCTGTAACATTTATCACATTAATGTTAACAGTCAAGACATTACTGCATTAACTATTAGCAAGGTTGTAGCAGCGTTATTTTAATATTATTTATATACTATTCTAGTATTTATTAATTTTTAAATTAATTTTACATTTTAATTTTTTTTAATTAATTTTTAAAAAATTGTTTAATGTTAATTCTTAAGTTTTTGAATTTTTTATGTGCTTTTTAAATGAGTTTTTGTTATATATAACTATATTTAGCTTTGATTTATTTTAATTTATTAACTTTTTTTTATTATCCAACTCTTTCTTGCAAAACATGCACATGGTTTATGAGGTACATAATATTTTGTTTTGTAAAGAAAGATATTATTTGCTTTGATTTATTTTTATTTCAGTTTTAGAAATGTTAGTACTTCAACTTGTTTGTTTCAGTTAGTTTTCCAAGGCAACATAATAATGGTATAAGTTTTTCAAGTTTCAATTACTGAATTCTTTTTTTTTTTGGTTAACAGTAACAACACTGAATTGTAGTAAAGTTGTTTTACAGTATGTCTCTTTCTTTTTCTCTCTGCAGAGGGATGTGTGGTATGAAGCTGGCAAGGTGTGGTACGCACACAAAGACGGTTATACACTCGGTTAGTCACCTCTTATACCTGTGCTGGCATTTAAGAGAACGAAATCTGTTGTTAATGACACATTGTTCAATCAGTTTTAGTAGTTGTTTTGGTTTATAAGTCATGTCTGAACACTAGACCAGCTCTCCTGTGTTGTTGAGTTGCAGGTAATTAATAGCGTGCTGTTTTAGATTATGCTATATTTACATATGGCCTTATTATTATTTTTGGGACTATCCCAGAAGTCACTGTTTTCGTACTATGTAAAAGCAGCCCCATTGCCTTCACTGTCTGCTCTCACTCCCCTATTTTAACTTAATATTGCTTAAAATATATCTCTTCTGGTGCAAGAGTCTACTCTTTGCATGAAAAGATGGTAAATGGGCTAACAGGCTCACAGCTTATCTTCTTGCTGATCGGATCTGTGGTGCCGTTAGCGTTACTTCAGTTTAGTGATGAATGGGTTTAGTGTTCTTAGCTTATAAGGCTCATAACCTCGCTAAATCTGCACGCCGAGGCTGCCATGTTATATGATTCAAAGATTATTGCATAAAACACACAGTACTGCAATATCTTCCTGAGCCAAAATCTGTCAGGCTCTAAAAAGAACAAAAGCACCATAAAAATAGCCCATGTAAGTTGTTGCTCCAAGTTTGGTGTGGCCAAACGCCACTGGTTTCCACATATCACGACCCTATACACAAAGTATTAGATTTACATTGAGTATTTCAGTGACCTTTGACCTGCCTTGCCTCTGATTTGTCTTAGCCACTCAGCTGAAGCCAGATGAAGGCACACCGGAGCTCCCTGACGGCAGGGTGAGGGTTCGACTGGACTCTGATGGATCGGTCCATGATGTATCCCAGTATGAGATTGAAAAGGTGAACTATTCAATGCTATTAATTAGGGGTGTAATGGTACACAAACATTACGGGTCAGTATGTACCTCAGATTTGACAATGCAATGGTTCAATTCTGTACAGCAGGGGGAAAAAAACCGTAAAACTGCTTATTTTTTATTTGAATTAAACAGGGGTTAACTGAACAAAATTCTGCTCACTTTAAATTCGATTACAGTCTACACAAAGTATTAGATTTACATTGAGTATTTCAGTGACCTTTGACCTGCCTTGCCTCTGATTTGTCTTAGCCACTCAGCTGAAGCCAGATGAAGGCACACCGGAGCTCCCTGACGGCAGGGTGAGGGTTCGACTGGACTCTGATGGATCGGTCCATGATGTATCCCAGTATGAGATTGAAAAGGTGAACTATTCAATGCTATTAATTAGGGGTGTAATGGTACACAAACATTACGGGTCAGTATGTACCTCAGGTTTGACAATGCAATGGTTCAATTCTGTACAGCAGGGGGAAAAAAAACCATAAAACTGCTTATTTTTTATTTGAATTAAACAGGGGTTAACTGAACAAAATTCTGCTCACTTTAAATTCGATTACAGTCACTATTTTCTTAAGGATATAATCTACCTCGGCTAATGCTGTGAACTATATAGGAAGCCCTATTACTTGCATATTACTATAATACAATTACAGTTAACAGCAGAGGCCAAGCTATTAAACTTAATTCTATCTATTTTAAGACATAATAATCAACACTCAAATTAAAAATTGTATGAAACCATGTAAATTGCACATGAAGCTAACTTCTGCATCTATTTATAATATTTCTGCTCCAATTCGTTGTTCAGATATAGTCTTTTACAGTGGCTGTCATAACTCGTTTTAATGACAGATTTATTTAAACATATATTAAATAATTAAGACATGACTAAGAGGTTAAGTGAAATAAAATGAATATATAGGCTGAGTATTAGTGCATATATCTGGCAAAATGCTCTTAGACTTCAATTCTCTAGTGAGCTTACGAGCTGTTGACACTGAATGACTTACCTGAGATAATGTAATGCTAGGTGACATATTGTTTAATTTCCGCGGTTGAAACACTGATTGAGCAATTACATGAAACTTGATACATTTCTTTCAACACACCTTCTGATGTTCATTCATGTTTATTGTAGCTAGTAGTAAAGTCATGATCCGCGACTTTGTTTCTTATCAAAAGTAACAATATATAAAACTAGTTTCAAGTTCTGCACGTGTAGTGGTTAAAACAACGCTACATTTGAAACGAAAGACCAGTACCGAATATTTTCGTACCGTTACACCTCTACTTCTAACTCATCATATGATGTGCGTGACCAGTGCTGACGTCTCTTGCTGGTTGTGTTCAGCTGAACCCACCTGAGCTGGACCTGTGTGAGGACTTGTGCGACCTCGTGAGCGTGAACGAGTCAAGCGTCCTTCACACTTTGACCAGCCGAGCTAAAGGACATCTACCCTTGACCCACGCGGGGCCCAATCTACTGGCTCTGTGGCCTCCACTGTCCCAGCCAGGCAAGGTAAGATCAGTGTATTTACAAAACCATCAGTGAGGCCTGTATGATGGCACATTTAGTTTGACATTAGTTAGAGTAGTTATATGCAGCACATTAGTCGTAAATTTATTGATTAATTTAGTTTACTTATAAAATAAAAAGTACTATGGTATTGCTGGGGTTTTCTTGTTTTTTGTTTTTGCACTATTTAGAATTGAATTGAGAATGCCTTTTAAAATTCTAATTTTTATTATTATTATTATTATTATTTATTTAATTAATTACATTTCATTTTGTCCAACATGGGAAAAAAATTATAAAATGCCTTTTAAATTCAGTTCAGTTGCTGAATTTCTATCAAAGTAGCATTGTACATCAATTATAATATTGTAGTATTATATATAACATATTGTGCATTTTTAAATAAAATATATAGGTTATATTATATTATATTATATATTTATTAATATCAGTGGTAGCCTATTGTTATATATACATTTATTTTCTTTACTTTTTTTAATGTATTTTATTAATTTAATTAACTTTCATTTTGTCCAACATGAAAAAATATATATAATAAAATGCCTTTAATAAATAAATGCCTTTTAAATTCAGTTCATTTGCTGATTTTCTATTGAGGTAGCATTGTACATCAAATTTAAATGTAATTAAATTAGTGCAATTAAAATAATTGCACACGTGTGTGTGTGTGTGTGTATTAATATTTAATAATTATTATAAATGATTATTATTAGATTTATTAATATCAGTGATAGGCTATATTTATTTATTTATTTAGGTATGTATGTATGTAACATAAAAATTTAGAATTTATTACTCAGAATGCTGTAATTTCAAGATGAAGACTTTGGTCCCACCACAGAACTGTTTTGTGAGGGTGTGACATGCAGAACATGCATTAGCTTATTAAAATGTGTTTGCTTTCTGCTTCAGGGGCTTCGGAGCAGACGCTGGGAGTCCTGGGAGGCTCCTGGCCCACTGCAGGCTCTGGTGAGGAGGGTGTATGTGTCAATGGTGGGTCAGCGGAAGGACCAGACGCTGGTGGCTTTGGGACGCAGTGGCACAGGGAAGACCACTTCCTGTCAGTCATTTTCCCAGGAGCTGCTCAAACAAGCGGGAACAGCAGGAGGAAGACTTACCTGTGAGTGCCTCCCATTTTTTCTGTTGATACGCCAAAGCTACAGAACAACAGAAGACTAAAGCTCAAAAATTACCAATAGAAATGAGTTGAATAAGTGCTTGAATAATTTGCACGCTGGATGGATTCTCTTTCTCAGGAGCCTCTGGTGGTTACAGGCTCCTATCCTGTAATTACAACAGCGTCTTCCTCTCACAGTGTAACATGTTTCGTTCCACTGAATATCAGCGTTTGTGTGTGTGTGTGAATCTGCTTCTACTGACATGAAGTGACAGGTGAAACGCTATAGCAACAGTTTAGAGGCTGTTTAGGGGTGTTTGTCGGTTGTCACAGGTTGTGAGACATGATTTGTGTGTGTAACTGCAGTAGAGCGGCTCCAGGCAGTGTTTACAGTGCTGCGCTCGTTTGGGTGTGTGGGCTCGTCTCACAGCGAGGCCTCGAGTCGATTCGCTATGGTGCTCTCACTGGACTTCAACCACGCCGGACTCGCTGCTGCTGCACATCTGCAGGTTCTCTGATCTGTCTGTCCATCTGTTTATCTGTTTATCTGTCTGTCTGTCTCTCTGTCTCTCTGCCTGTCTGTCTGTCTATCTATCTATCTATCTATCTATCTATCTATCTACAGGGGTGCCGCTAGCAATTTTGGGCCCTATGAAAGAATATGAGGTCGGGCCCCCTACCGCACCAAACATATACTATATTGCCCAAAGTACTGGGACCCCCCCACACCCCTTCTAATGAACAGGTTTGACTACTTTAGTAATTTCCACGAGTACATATCATAATGTTTAAGCATATAGTGATATTCTAGGGAATTGTGTGCTTCTAATTTTATACCAATAGTTTGAACAGGACTCTTTTCTATTCCAACACAAAAATGCCTCTGTGTATAAGGCAAGGTTTAAAAAAAAAAAGATTGATTCAGTCAGTGAGGAAGAACTTGACTGGTCTGCAGAAAGCCAAGTCCTAATCCCAGTTGAACACCTCTGGTGTGACTTTAAATGCAGACCTTGAGCCTAAAACTCATCACCAAACGCCTGTGACTTGTACATACATATGGACAAAAGTATTAGGACACCCCCTTCTTTAGAACAGAAAAAGGCACTTCCGAAACTATGGCAGCAAAGATGGAAACAATTCATGTATTTAAAAATTGTATTTCCAGTTTTGGAAGTGTCTAAAATGATTGTATGCATATGAACAAGTCATTGGTGTTTGGTGATGAGTTTTAGGCTCAAGGTCTGCATTTAAAGTCACACCAGAGGTGTTCAACTGGGATTAGGACTTGGCTTTCTGCAGACCAGTCAAGTTCTTCCTCACTGACTGAATCAATTTATATTTTTTAACCTTGCCTTATACACAGAGGCATTGTCGTGTTAGAATAGAAAATGGTCCTTTCCAAACTGTTGGTAAAAAATTAGAAGCACACAATTCCCTAGAATATCATTATATGCTTAAACATTAAGATTTGTACTCATGGAAATTACTAAAGTAGTCAAGCCTGTTCATTAGAAGGGAGTGTCCCAATATTTTTGGCAATATAATGTGCAAGCCAACCTAGCTATTCAAAATTTTTGTCTGCAATTTAATAATATTGACCTATTACTTTTGCTATTGCTTTTGACCATTAGGTATCAGTAACATAATTCATTCAGAACATTTGTAACATAATTCAGTCAGAACATTTTCTATGAACGTAGACTTTCTGTACCACACTGTTCTGCTGATATGGAATGAGTTTAACTACTTAATCAGTTATATTAATAGAAATGCTTCACTGGGGCAAACAAAAATAATAAATAGGATACCCCATAACACCAGCATTTCCAGCAGTATCCAACATTTCTCAATTATGATCTTACTCATAATGTAATGTTCTTAAATGTGACTATTAGCTTAACAGCTGTATTCCTTGTTTGCTAGCTACATATGCACATACAGCATACAATGTTAAAAATGTTCTACATTATGAACCTTAACCCAAAAACCTTTAGCTTCATACACTGTAGATTGTGACCCTGCCTGTGGAAACCCAGCTAAAGTATTATTGTTTTTAAACAGTGGATGAGTAATTCACTCCTTGATTTGCTTAATAAAAGCCTCCTTTGAGATCGTTTTGACAGACATGTTTATTGTGTATTATTTTCAACGTGTTTATTGCTAAATTTAGTGTGGCAAAATAGAAGCGCAGCCGTAATTCGTGTGAATTTGTAGATTTTCTATAGCAAAACTAAAATGTGTTTAAAAGTGC